TAAATATATTTTATTATAGGATAGGTTGGGGGTTAGTGGGCCCACTTGAGTGATGAACATTTATCTTGTAAGATTCACCTCTAAAATTATTCATATAAAAAATAGATGGGTGATATATTGTTAATTACATGATCAGTTTATATTTATTTTTATAAAAATTTATAGTAAATATGATATTGAGAACATATTTTTTATTTTTCTTTTAATGGCCTTGTTTGAGAAGTTGATTATTTTAGTTGACTGTTTGATTTTTTTGACTATTTTAGTCAAGTTAAAATAGTTGTGTTTGAAAAAACAGTTGATTTTACTTTTATTTTTTTATAGCTGATTTGATAATTGCGAGAGAAAGAGTGAAATGATTATAAATTTAATATGATATTTTATCTTATTGATTATTTTTACTTGCTTTGTCTTTTAATGAGTTATTTTAACTCAACTCTCTTCTTTAAATCAGGCCAATCAAAATGTCATCTGATCATGTGATTACCAATTTAAATTAATTTATTTTTTCGTATATGATCTATTAGATGGGGCCAATAAAATAATGGTTCAAATTACAAAAATGGGCTCAGCAAGTCCTATTAGTATCTCTCCAATTAAATTACCAACTTAAGAAAAAAGACTAGATTTTTCTCATGTTATTTTTTACGAAGGACCCATTTACACCCAATAGTTTTACAACCTGGAGGTAAATCCACTAACTTCCATGTTTTATTTGAAAGCAGTGAGTCTATCTCATCATTTACAGCCTCTCTCCAGAAAATAGCATCAGGTGATGATAAAGCTTCTTGTACCGTATGAGGAATTTCTTCCACATTGTAAAGATAATAGTCAAGGCCAAAATCTTTTTCAACTCTAGCTTGTTTACTTCTTCTTGGTTGGATTTGAAAATTTTTTTTTTCTTGAAAAACTTGAGAAGGAGTAGAAGAGCTAGGCATAGATAAAATATTTTCAGATATAATTTGACCCCCACTATTTCTAGATTTGAAAGGAAATTTATTTTCATGAAAAATAGCATCACCTGATTCAAAAATAATATTATTTTCCATATCAAAAAATCTATAAGCTGTACTATGCAACGCATACCCAAGAAAAGCACAAGTAGTAGCTCGTTCACCCAATTTAGGTCGTTTAGGATCTGCAAGCCTCACAAAAGCTAAACAACCCCAAACCCTCAAATAACCCAGATTTGGTTTATGCCCCCGCCATAACTCATAAGGGATAATTTTAGTCTTTTTGTGTGGCACTCTATTTATCACATGGCAAGCTGTCAAATAGCCTCACCCCAAAAATTTGAGGGAGCACCTGAATTAATAATCATAGCATTCATCAAGTCAATTAACGTTCTATTTTTTGTTTCAGCTACGCCATTTGATGAAGGTGAATATGGTGGAGTAGTCTCATGAATAATTCCCAATGACTGAACAAAAGAGTTGAATCCTAGAGATTCATACTCCCGGCCTCTATCACTTCTAATTCTTTTAATCTTTTTACCGAATTGATTTTCCACTTCAAGAAGGAATTCTTTAAATTTCTCAAAAGCATCACTTTTATTTTTTAATAAATATACGTTTGTATATTTTGAAAAATCATCAATAAAAGTGATAAAATATCGGTTACCACCCCGAGTTAAAATTCCTTCAAACTCACACAAATCAGTATGAAATAATTCTAGCAATTCGGCATTTTTTTCAACACTTTTATGAGGCCTCTTGGTAATTTTTGCTTTTACTGCAAACTTCACATTTCTCAAATTTTTTTGTCACTTTAGGAATTAATTCTAAACTACTCATGATTCCCACATATTTACTATTTATATGACACAAGCCAGCATACCAAAAATTAATAGAAGACAAAATGTAAGTAGTGTCATAGCAATAATCATAAAATTAATCAGTAAGGAAATTAAAGAGATAAATTGACATTTATACTTATCTGTATTGTAGGAAGCCACTTTTGCTTCATGTGCCTCATAGTCTTCATCATTTATCTCCTCGGTTGGGATTTTGTTCGGATTCTTTTCTGTAAGAACATATGCAACTTTCAAAAGGCTAAGGTATAAAAGAACTTTTTCTTTCCACCTCTTAAAATGAACTCCTTTGAACTTGAAAGGTTTGTTGAGATCTCCAATTCCATCATTGGTTTTTTCGGGTACTTGTTCCATGTTTGATCTCCTTAAAATTATTGGAGAAAATACCAGAAACTAAACTATATTATTGATAAATGATACAAAGAAAATGAGATACAAATAGATCAGACTGAGGCACGGATATCTCGTTTTCTTTAAGGAGATCAAGTCTACTGCGGTAGGAAGAATCCAAATACCGATGCAGTAGTCACAACACTATGACTTGTCCCCTCCAGGATACAACAGCCCGACCACTTGTCGTATGGTTCACGCCAACTCTGTATAAGATGGTGAACCCAAAGCTCCACCAATAAAACACCCTTCTTTGCTAGTAATCTCTCTTGTATAGAAAATAGTTAATCTCTATAGATAGAAAAGAGTAGACTATATATAGGCTATAAGGACCTTACAGTTACACAAAAAATAATGACCATTAAACAAGAAAATGGTTACATCAAAATAATGATCATTAACCAGGTTCATGAATTATATTTAACCTCCATTTATGACCAAGAGGTTACCAAAGTAATAAAACCCCATTTATGAAAAAGATAAACCAATAAATAAATATAAGATATTAAAATGGTCCAACAAGTGATAAGTGTATCATTACTCTGGAGTGTTTTGAAAAGATAGTTAAAAGTTACTTTTTAACTTTTTTTGATAGTTTTTGTGACTTTCACTATGCAGAAAGTTTTTGTGATTTTGTTTTCGATTTACGCTAATTGTTGCTTATTATATAGCTTACTAAACATGACCATGTTTAACTTGAAGATCCAATTGAATTACAAAATATTTTATTAAATATTCACATAAGTGTAGATCTCATGTGACATGAGTTCTACACTCAACTAAATATTATATATAATATTTGATAATTTATTTTAGGTCCCTTGCTCCTTTGCAATTTCACTAGTAAATAATAAATGCCACTCTCTCATGTATTTGCCTATAAATGACACACCTTTGTGAGTGTTCTCCATAGAAAACGAAAAAAGGAAAAAAAAGAAAAAAAAGGAGTCTTTCATAGATTCTTACAAACCATATAATGGCTTCTGTTAAAGTTGTCTCTATGATCCTAGTTGTTGCACTCCTTTTTCTATGCATAGGTTTGTAATTTTTAATGTGTTATAGTTGTTTTTTTTTTTACAGAAGCAAATTACAGAATTGATCATACAAGGCACACTCACAATGGACGTGTGTGACTCATCTTTTTTGTGAATGTTATGTGATTGATTAGGATTATATAATTAGTTAATATTTTAATATAAGAAACATTCATTTATTTTCGTCTTTTTAAGATTTTTCTTACTGTCTCCAATTTTGAGGAACCTAAAAATCAAAATAAAGATTTTTGGCCAAATTTGAAAAAGTTCAAATAAAATGAAAATAAGCCAATTTGGGGATAAAAGTTAGCTTAGATTTGTCATATTAGGATTTTTAAAATTTGATCCAATTTTTTTTTACATATTTTTTAGGTTTGTTAGGACTAGTCACTAGAGAACCCTAAATAAATTGACCAAACATACACACACACACACACACAAAAAAAAAAAAAAAAAAAAAAAAAACTAATATATTTTCTACCGGATAAAACCACTTTTCTTTGTAAAATATAAACAATTTTTATTAGATAATGTAATTTTTTAACACAATTCATATAGAATTTTTATATCGAATGTGTTATCAAAATGATGTAACAGTAGTAGTATTTATGTAAATAAATGTCATTCAATGTAGTACTCTTTTTCTTTTTTTTTCCCTGTTGGTACATACATACTTTTGTATTTTATTTTTGTTTTTGTGTTTTTGGCAGATGAGAATGAAGCACAAGCATCCAGATGTTGTAACAATCACCCATCGCTAGGGCACTGTATACCAGGGAAGGATGATCAGCCAGGTAGTGATGGAAAATGTTGGATTTACTGCATCAATGATTGTGAGAAAGGAGGCATTTGTAAAAAAGTTGGCAACGGCCATGTTTGTCACTGTTATTGTTGATGATGATCTATAGATATCTTTGTAATAGCTAGCTAGCTAGCATGCATCTTTCAAGCATGCTAATATTAATAACAATGAAAAGTATTTCAATCAAATGCAATTTCCAATGATTTTGAGTTCCACCATTGCATAATTTGTCTAACTCGTATCTAATTTAACCTAATTAATTTAAGTCAATTAATTAAATAGACGAATTTGAATTTGAATTGAATTGCTACTTGATTCGACTTGCCGATACTCCTCATTTGCTACCTCTAAGTAAATTCCCATTGTAATTTTTTTCTCTCTTTCTCTCTCCTCTTTTGGTGCAATTAAAATTGATTCTTCATTTGGGAACAAGGATATAAGCTGTTTTTTAACTTTTTTTAAGAAAAAGTCAAAAACAAGCTTTTTTAAACAAAAAATCATTTAGGTTGACACCAAAATGCCTTCCGGTGATAGTAAAATTGCAATTTCACAAAATTGTATGGGATGATATGGTCAATTTATCCATTTTCTAGTGTTGTGACACCATAAACAAATAATATTGAAAAAGGCAAAATAATAACTTTTTTTTCCATATTGCCAAATAATTTTGTGAATAAACAAAACAAAAAAACTTAAATATAAGCAAAAAAAACAGGTTATATCCAAATTCTCAAAATAGGCCAATGTTTTTTTTTTACATCTTACCACTAAAATGTAATTTTTGCTAAATGGGAAGGCCAGACCAAGTTTGGGCCCAAATTATTAATTGACTTGTGTGTTTATCCAAGTCCAACCCAATCCAAACATTGGGCCTCACGATCCATATTAAAAAACGGGTCGTATCCATTTCTTGTTCATCACCCTGGTACATAAAGCCCTAACCCTAACCCTAAACTATATATACACTCACTCACTCACTCGTTTCTTCAAAATCACCAACCATGGCGGAGAGAGGCGGAGGTGAGAGAGGCGGTTTCGGGCGAGGCTTCGGCGGCGGAGACAGAGGCAGAGGCCGCGGCGGTGACCGCGGCCGAGGCCGCCGTCGTGGCCCCCGGCGCGAAGAAGAAGAGAAATGGGTTCCAGTCACCAAACTGGGCCGCCTCGTCAAAGACGGCAAGATCCGAAGCTTGGAGCAAATCTACCTCCACTCTCTCCCCATCAAGGAACACCAAATCATCGATACCCTAGTCGGTCCATCTCTCAAAGACGAGGTCATGAAGATCATGCCGGTCCAGAAACAGACTCGGGCCGGCCAGAGAACCCGGTTCAAGGCCTTCGTGGTCGTCGGAGATGGGAATGGGCATGTGGGTCTGGGCGTCAAGTGTAGCAAGGAGGTTGCGACGGCGATTCGAGGAGGGATAATATTGGCGAAGCTGTCGGTGATTCCGGTGAGGAGAGGGTATTGGGGGAACAAGATTGGGAAGCCGCATACGGTGCCGTGTAAGGTTACGGGGAAATGTGGGTCAGTGACGGTGAGGATGGTGCCGGCGCCGAGAGGGGCTGGGATTGTGGCGGCTAGGGTTCCCAAGAAGGTGCTGCAGTTTGCTGGGATTGAGGATGTCTTTACTTCCTCTCGTGGGTCTACCAAAACTCTTGGGAATTTTGTCAAGGTTGGGTTTTTTTTTTTTTTCCCTTGCTATTACATTTTGATGGTATATACATTATTATTATTATTATTATTATTTTTGATAATCTGTTGAATCTATTTTTTTTTGATAATTTGATCAACAGGGAAGAAGGGTTGAATCTTTTCTTTTTTTTTTTAAATAATCTGATCAAGGGGAAGATGGATGAATCTGATAAGGCTCCTATTGGCAGGCTGATTTGGACTAATTTAGTCATATACAAAATTAGTTATTTTAGCTAAATAAGATAAAATGGTATACTCAAATAATAATTATTTCATTTTTTATATCATAAAAGTAAAAAAAAAAAAAAAAAAAGCCAAAAAGTCTATCCTAAATGAGACTTCTTAGCCGAGGCTAAAAAGTTTAAAAAATTAAAAAGTCAAAAAAATCAACCTACATCTCAAACAAAGGCTTGAGCATCTCCAACATTTTTTTTTTTTCAATCAAATTTGATTTCAAATTTTTATAAAAAACTTGATTTGATATCAACTATTTTAATCCTTTATTCAAATTTTCATTAGAATCTTTTTAAAACTTCCTCTCTCATCCCAAATTTATCTTTGGAAAAATTACAAAAAAAAAAAAAAAAATCAGGGTTTTGTGTGTTTTTCAAATTAAACCCCATAATTTTAATTTTGACAAATTAAATCATGGAGTTTCTTCTGTGTTTTAATGTGAACCCTCGGTCTATGTCCGTTTGATTGAACTAACAGAATCTGGTCAAAATTCTTAGATTCAAGCACACATGTTCAAACACTTGTATCTCTCTCGTCATAATTCTGTTTCGCCTCATTTTTGCGTCGTTGGATTCACTTCATTGTCTAGTTTCCATTCCATCCCTCATATGCCTTGTTCCACCTCTTTTTGTGTGCCGTTGGAACTCCGAAAGTTGGAAAAAAATAAGAATTTTCTCTCGGGAAAATTTCAGATTTAAACACATATGTTCAAGCACTTGTATCTCTTTTGTCGTAATTCCGTTTTGTCTTATTTTTACGTCTTTGGATTTACCTCATGGCCTAGTTTTTGTTTTACCCCTTATAAGTCTTGTTCCACCTCTTTTTGCATACTGTCGGAGCTTTGAAAGTTTGCTAAAAATAAGATTTTTCTTTCTTTGGACAAAATCTTCATATTCAAACCAACATATTCAAGCACGTATATCTCTCTCATCGTAACTCTGTTTTGTTTCATTTTTGCTTCGTTGGATTCACCTCATGACCTAATTTTCATTTCACCCCCTCGTGCGCCTTATTCCATCTCTTTTTATATGCTGTCTAAGTTCCAAAAGTTGGTAAAAAATATTTTTTTTTTCCTCTATTTTCTATCTCTATGCTTATTCCTTCCTACTTTCTTTTCACAATTATTCTCTTTTTTTCTTTTCCTTCATGGCCCTTCCACCAAGCTCGTGGTGGCCATCGAACCTCCGACGGTGGCAGCGTCGTCGAGTATGAATATATATGACTTACAAGAACGGAAAGAAGCATAAGAGTCGGGGAAGGGCCATGAAGGAAGAGGAAAAGAGAGAATAATTGTGGAAAAGAATTAGGGAGGAAGAAGTATGGAGATATAAGATAGACGAAAAAAAAAAAAATTCTTATTTTTGGTCAACTTTCGGAGCTTCGACAATATGCAAAAAGAGATGGAACAAGGCTTATGAGGGGTGAAATGAAAACTAGACCATAAGGTGAATCTAAAGACGCAAAAATGAGGCAAAGTAAAGCTACGACGAAAGAGATACAAGTTTTTGGACATGTATGTTTAAATCTGAAAATTTTCCTAAGAGAGAAAAATCTTTTTTTTTTCCAACTTTTGGAGTTCCAACGGCACACAAAAAGAGGTAGAACGAGGCATATGAGGCATGGAATGAAAATTAGGCAATGAGGTGAATCCAACAAACGCAAAAATGAGACAAAACGGAGTTACGACGAGGAAAATACAAATGTTTGAACATGTGTGCTTGAATCTGAGAATTTTTTCTAGATTCCGTTAGTTTGATCAAACGGATATAGACAGAAGGTTCATATTGAAATACGAAAGAAACGCCAGTGTTTAATTTGTCAAAATTGAAACTATGGGGTTTGATTTGAAAAACATGCAAAACCCTAGGGTTTTTTTTGTAATTTTTCCTTTATTTTTTCTATCAAATTTAATGATTTTTTTTTATCTTCAATGCTTTATCTTTTTTAATTTGATGATGAAGATTAGATGAGGTTTTCAATTTGATAAAAAAGATTACTCTTTTTTGATTTGATGAACAATTAATGAAATGATTAGAGATGATTTTTTTGAACTTTTTTATCAAATTTAAATTTGATGAAGGAAAATGTGAAGGATTGGAGATGGTCTAAGGTGTTCATATTTAAGTTAACTTTGGATTGAGGTTGTGTTTGGATAAAAGATTTGACCAGATTTGTTGATGGAAACGAAAATGATAAAGGAGGAAAAGCGATCATTTTTCGTGGGAAAGTGAAAAAAATAAATAAATTAACTTTTCTCTTCTTTTTTACTTTTCCTTCATAAATCTCTAATCAAATTCTTGATCCAAACAAAAACTTAAACAGATAAAGTTGGAATTGTACCTGTTGAACCTAATCTTGGTATATGTTTGAGCTTATGAATTGTTTTGGTTTTGTTGTTGGGTGACCTTTTTTTTTTTTTGAGCTGCTTGTTGTTGGGTAACCTAACAGATAGTTTGTGCATTGACTGCTGTTTCAAGTAGATTGGTAAACTCAATTAGTGATTTTTGGAGATAATTTTGTATATCATTTGTACAACTGCATAAGATTCTATTCATTTTTAGTTGAAAGGATTAATATAATGCTGTTTTTTAAAAAAAAAAATTAAAATTTTATATTATGAATCCTTTGTACTTCAATCAAGCACATGCTTGTGCTTTTCGCCTCGGTTCCAGAAGCCCTTTGTGTTTAAGTGGCCTTCACGCTTTCACCAACATTGTTTCATAGACATGATTGGAGTGATGATTTCTTTAAGTGGCCCTTTGTGTTTAATTTCTTTTTATTTGGTTTTCTGTTGAGGCATAGAATGTATAATGTTATTTCTTTGTATTTGATGATGCAGGCCACTTTTGATTGTCTGTTGAAAACATATGGTTTCTTGACACCTGATTTCTGGAAGGAAACCCGCTTTTCAAGATCCCCGTTTCAAGAATATACGGATTTCTTGGGAAAGCCTACGAAGCCCCTCATAATTGATGATGCAGAGAAACTAGACGCTTAAGGAGGATTTATGGGTGCATATGAGGTTGAGTAATAGTTCCAAGAGCTGATATGATTTGGTTCTGTAGGTTATCAGGAAACTAAGCATGTTCTGTGGGAGCTGATTTGATTTGCCTTTTTTGGTTGTCAAAACAATAAGCATGTTCTCTTTTTCATAAATTTTATTTAATATTGTTAGTGTTTTTTCTCTGAACAATTTGGATTTGCTTGCAATTGAATGAGGAAAGTTTTGTGCTTTCTTAGTTGCTTTGTCTACTTTCAATGGCAATGTCAATTTGTTGTGTCGTATATTTTTGTCATGTAGATATGGCAGAATCGCATTTTGGATTTCTAGTAAAATGTTCTTATATAGGCAGCAGCATATACTTGGGTTGGAATGGCAATGTTTTTACATGTACAAAAAATTCCGCACATAGAACACACCAATGTCTCACAAAATTTTTGCAATTATTGATACAAACATTTTTTGTGACATTGGTGCATTTTTTGCTATGCTTGTATTTACTTCTACTATATTTGCTTGTGAGGCTTTAGAATGTCCTTGTGCAAGCTTGCAAGGGTTAAGGTGGCAATGAGAGGCTCTCTAACTTTCTTGTGTAAAATTGAGAGATTGAAACCTAGAAATTACATGAAATTTTGAAATGCTTCTTTTCTGCAATGTTGTTAAAGAAAGCAACAAAACCATTTTTGAGTTGTGTAATGCCTTTATAATTTATTATTTTTTTTAAAAAAAATTATAATCTTTGATGCATTGTGAGTTTTTTTTTTTTCTTCAACTTTTTGCTTTAATTTTTACTAGCATATCACTCGTGCTATGTACGGATTGTGTTTACAATTATCTATATATGTGAATTGCGATTTTTAAATGTCTTTTTTTTTTTTTTTAAATGCCTTCTTTTTCTTCCCTTTTTTATATTATATTAAAGTTCAATATTTTGATAATAATCATATATATGTTAGACTTTTCAAGAAATTAAATATCTTTTTTTTTATTATATTATATTAAAGTTTAATATTTTGATAATAATCATGTGTTGGATTTTTTAAGAAATTTTTTTTTATGCTTATTCTTAATGCATTGAAGTGTTATTATGAGGGATAATAATCATATGTGTTGGGACTTTTCAAGAAATTCATGTGTTGGATGTCAAAGAATTTTTTTTAAGCTTTTTCTTAATGCATTAAAGTGTTATTATGAGGGTAAGACTTGGGGGTTGAGAGAAGTTAATAAATGCTAAGTTTTTTTTTTTAAATTAAAAAATTAAAAAATTTAGATAGAAAGATTGGAATTCTCAAAAGGCTCGGGATTAAAAATCTCTTTTCATTTAATATATAGTATAGATTCCGGTGTTTTCATTTTATTTTCACTGTCATTGTTGTACTTCTGTTGCGGTCTGCTTGCTGGGCTCAGGTTTTCAAATTGGGCTGAATTGCAACACAAATTATATAGTTTGGGACACCCATTAGGGGTTGAAGTTTATGGACGTAACACTGAAGCCAATGGCAGTGGATGAATATGATTTTTATTTTGGGTGAATTACATTAATATTTTTGTAGTTTGGGATTTGTATCACTTTAATATTTAACTTTTCAATTGTGATACATTTGATCTTAAATTTTGAATCTTGTTTCAAATAGGAACAATCAAAGATATCATTACTTAATTTCAAGGGTAAAATTGTCAATTTAATAAAATATAAATTAATTTGACAAAAATAAATGTCAAAAAAATATTTTTAAATTTTTAAAAAATTATTTGTACCAACCAAAGGTAAAATTATATAAAATTGATAAATCTTTTAGACATTTTTTTTTCCAAATTAGTTTTTATTATGTATTGGATGATGATCATATAATAGGTAGTTGTTAGGATTTTAATGTATAATCGACATATTTATATGAATTATTTTTAGTTTTGAATTTTTTAATTTAATAGATTAGTTTAATAATGATATCAAAGTTGCCGTCATATTTGAATTTTAAAACAATAAAAACTAATTTAATGAAAATAAAAACAACCACCCATTGCATGATTTTCATCCAAACACATAATAAAAATTAATTTGATAAATAAATAAATAAATAAATGTTTAAGAGATTTATCAATTTTACATGATTTTATCTTTGATTGGTAAAAATAATTATTTAAAATTTTAAAAATATTTTTTTAACATTTATTTTTGTCAAATTAGTTTAAATTTTATCAAATTAACAATTTTACTCTTAAAATTAAGTAATGATATATTGAATAATCCTTATTTAAAACAAGATTTAAAATTTCGAGTTAAATATATCACAATTAAAAAGTTAAAAATTAAAATCACACAAACTCCAAATTATAAAACTATTAGTGTAATTGGCCTTTTGATTTTCTAAATTTTTTTTGAATATTGAAAACCATCAGTTCTTGCCAAGATAAAGTTCCAAGTGGCAAAAACCCATTTGCCAAAACATTCTTTGTGATAAGGATATGGATAGCATTTGTAACAAGCACCCTTATATGCACTTTTAGCTGACATTAAACTAAGCCCTATTCAAAGCTCAAAAAACAAAAACAAAAACAAACCAAACCAGTCTGTAGAGAAAAGAAATGGCTTCCATAACAATGACAGCAGCCTCCTTCCACAGCGTAGCCACCACCAAACCGCCCTCAACCACCGGCCAGGGCGGCCGGAGGCGGGGGGTTATAATGGCCAAGGCCTCAAAGGTGAGTGAAAGTGTGAGTTTCAAGAATGAGAGCAATGAAAACAACAACAGCAGCAGTGCTGGGAGGAGGGATCTGGTGTTTGCAGCTGCAGCTGCTGCAGTGTGGTCGGTGGTGAAAGTAGCCGTGGCGGATGAGCCGCAGCGGGGGACTCCAGAAGCTAAGAAGAAGTATGCACCGGTCTGTGTTACAATGCCCACCGCTCGCATCTGCCGCAAGTGAAGTGAGGGAGCATTTTTTATTGTCATGGTGCTTCTGTTTGTTGGTCTATGGTGGTCCATGTAAAAAAAATAAAAAATAAATAAAAAAATTGATGATTTCTATTGTAATTTATCCTCTTGATTGTTATCCCCATTTTAAACATCTTAGACTTGGATTTCTGTGCATTTAAACAATCTAAATTATTATATACGGTGGTACTACATGCACTTTATTAGTATTATGACATTATTACTCACCCTACCTATTATACAAACGGTTGTGCTACATGCATCAATTAATATACATACTAGTGTATCAATTAGTGTTATGCTATTATTATTGACCTCACCTATTATACAAATATAAATACCCAAAACCTCTAAAATTAAGCTATATCATCTGTTAGTATGTTAGTTAGTACATTAATTTGTACATATAGCATTATTCTTATACAAATTACAAATATCTAAAATTTCTAAAATTATAACACATCATTTGTTAGTACACTAATTAATGCATATAACATTATTCTATTATATATATATATATATATCAGACATACAGCTACAAGAAGCTTACACTCCATTTTCTTTTTTTCTTTTTCTTTTTTGGTCTTTGATACAATGAAAAATTCAAATCAACGAAAAAAGATTTCTGTGCTTAACAAAAAAATTAACTAAAATCGACTAGTCTGTGCAAGAAACGTTTTTCGCTTTTTAAACCACCAGCACACAACTACCGTTTTTTTTTACTATGGCTCTTCAAGCCTGAAAAAATGAAAAGGGACATACATTTCAAGCCATGGACCATATAGATGCCCCCAAAAGAATTGAAGGATGCTCTTTAATGCAAATTGTGTTCAAGTGATATCAATCAAAATGTCAAATGTGGATCCTGATTTGAGGAACAAATGGTAACAAGATAGATATAACGAGTGTGATAAGACTTAAAACTCTATCTTTTGCAGTTTAGAGATCTTATATATCATATTAGGTCACTAATTGTTCCAAAACTTTCAGTAGAGAAGAAATGAGCTCAACAAGATATATCAAGCTAATATGGAGGAATTATTGTTTCAGTGGTGAGTAAAGCGATCAAGCTTATCTACACGTCTGGTCCGATCATATAAATAGAAAACTTAGAAAATAAAATACAAAATCCATGTCTAGTTACACTAAAACACACACCTAAACTAGGTACAAAAGGCTGCTAAATCCAATCTCCACTATTTTCAGCTGTTACCGAGTGGTAACAGTAGAGAATCGACTCTTACCTTTCCTCACATTCACCATTTTGCAAGTCAATAGCAAAATTGGCGATAGACTTTTCTCATGGTTTATTCACTCTTGCCATTTTGTTGGGAAGCAACAAAATTGCGAATGACTTCCATAGCTAATTGATGAGCATTCTTGTTTTGAACCCTTGCTAGTTCATCCACAGCCTCGTATGTCTCCCTATCAGCAAATAGTTTCAGGTTGAATCGAGAAGATGACTCCACTGGACCTTCCCATTTGTCAACCAATTCCTGGAGTTTATCAAATCCCTGATACAAACAAACCAAATCTACATTAAGCTTTTGTTTTGATTTACGGATTTGAAATGAAATAATTCGACACTAATCATTTAAGGAGAGTAGCTCAAATTTAGATTTTGATAGTTTGGATATGGAAATGGATTTTAAGATTGAGTGGAGTACGAAGAAATTAGAGAAAATCCAGCCATCTCTTATACAGGTTGCCCAAATGAAGATAAATTCGGAACTTCAAGTTTATTACTCACCAGGCGGTTTGTGAAGTCACCAAATGATTCTTTTGCTTGTCGCTTCCGCTTCCAATAGTAAAATAAAGGTTCCATAACTTTCTCAAGCTCCTGAACCTTGACCTTGTTCATAAAGGTTCTTGCCAATGAGGTTTGATTCGGTGTTCCCCCAAGCCAAATCTGATTTAACACAAGAACGAATACATTCAGTTTGATTTCACAAATCTCCCAAATGGAATGAGAAGTTTGAGACCCAATAAAAAATCAAAGTTTAAGGACATAGTAGATAGTACTACAAATACCTGATAGCTATTGGGACCATCACCAACCAATCCAAGTTCAGCCATGTAGGGTCTAGCACAACCATTGGGGCAACCAGTTACCCTCATCACTATGGATTCATTATACTTGAGACCAACCTGAAATCACAAAGCCCATGTTCTTTAACAAGCCTTATTAACCCAATCTAAACATAATGTTAATTGGCAACTTTTTTCTAGGAGCTTTGTTGGATTTCTTGAAACTTGTAAATTTGTCAATATACCTTCTCAAACACAGCACGAACCCGCTTAAGGATGTCTGGTATTCCACGCTCAGCTTCAGTTATTGCCAAAGGGCAAAGTGGCAAAGCTGGGCATGCCATTGCAGTTATATTTAGGGGATCTACATACCGAGGATGCTGCCCATAATAAACAGTGATCAAAATACGCTACATTAGTTCTTCAAAAATTCAGGAAGGTAAAAAAATAAGAAATCAAAAGATAGCTCCTCATAAAAAAAAATACACATACATGTAACTCTAGAGAATATGATCTGAACCAACAAATTCAACAAAAATCTTCAATATATAATAAAGAGAGTAGCAAAAGGAAAGATCCAAAATTGGTCAGTCTCACAGGACACACAAAATTCACATGGGATTATTTACATAATCTGACACAATATAGAAACATTTTATCAACACTAGGTGTGTTGACTGTCAATTGCAATGCAAAGAATTTGAATGGACCATTACAAAGCATAGACTTTGAAATGAACTTGTTCAACATCAGATGAAATAAAGCAATTTTAGATTACCATTGACAGGCTATCTCTACTTTCTGCATCTTTTTGGCTGCCAAGAGAATGAGGGGAAAAAATCTAAAATTCCAAAATTTGTATTCTCCATTAGTTGACTTATTTGATTCATTTCCTCTCCTGCAGCCATGTGCCATCAGCTAATATTCATTTATTTGATTTGATTTCAATTCTTTACTCGGACATTGAACCATGTAGTCATGTTGACATTCAGTGTTACCACAGTAGCTGAAAAACACGTACTCCTTATTGGATAAAAAATTCAGTAAAACTCTCTTAATTCATCACATTCATATGAATGCTAAAGCAAACTCAAAATGTCTTACCAGCAGACCACATTGTGCAAGAGCTGTGGTAATGGGGCGCCTCCATGCTCGACGAATATCACACAAGACAATGTTCTGGTTTGGTGTGATACGCACATTCAAGTTATACTTCTCAATAGTTTCCCTCAATGTCTTCTTCATCACACCCTTAATACGACCATTATCAACATGGAGCCCACAAAATAAACCACCATCACCCTGCCAAAGAAGATTTTAAATGATCATAAATAAAGAGGAAAGAAAAGTCTAGTCATTTTTCAGTAGGTGAGAGAAAAGAATAGTCAAGAGGATAGATCATGAGTAAGGGAACAAACATATAGGAGCTAATCCTGAACAGAGGAAGGCAAAAAGAAAATCCATACAAACAATCACGTGATGAACATCACAAAGTTAAGGAAACATGATAGAAGTTAGATTATTTGCTTCGTCTCTATAGTTCCCTAATTTATCTAGCTATGAGGGGCAACATATGAAAGTAAAAAGTGATTGGTTTGACCGGACATGTATTCTGGAACAAAAAAATAAATAAAAAATTGTAAGGAAGACATCCAATTATAAACAGAGGACTATTAATTATACAACTTATTCACGGGAGCATTAATTATATGCCTCAATAAAAAAAACCAACTTGCTCATGCCATCCCAAATAACTCTTAAATTCCCACTCAGGTAATTCACGGCAAGGCTCAAACTTCTTTCCGTAATACTGTTCAGCAACAGTTCTAAACTTCTCAATCCCCCATGAGCTGATCAAGTATTTCATTCTACTATACTTGCGGTCATCCCTTCTCCCATTTTCTCGTTGTGTAACAACAATAGCTTTCACAGCATACAATATATCCTCCTTTGGTACATATCCCAATGGCTCTGCCAGACGGGCGAATGTAGTTTCCAGTCTGTGCGTTCTTCCCATACCACCACCAACCTGCAACAGAAAGGATAAACTACTTAAAATCTATATCCCTAAGACATTAGAAGAAAAGAAGTGTAAAGAAAAAGATTGTAAATCTCACATAAATGTTGAAACCCTGAGGTTCCCCATTATCATTAGAGACAACCACAACACCAACGTCATTCGTGAGAATATCTACTGAGTTATCTGTTGGCACAGTAACTGCAACTTTGAATTTCCTTGGCAAGAACTGTGTTCCATAAATAGGCTCGGGTGAATCGGGAAAATTTGTCCCATGGGAATTATCATTGCGTGCCTTCACTACTTCAGGAGGTTCTGCAGACATAATTCTCTCTCCATTCACCCACATATCATAATAAAAACCAGACTGAGGAGTTAGAAGCGCAGCAATATTTTCTGCAGTCTCCTGTGCAAAAAGGTAATCTTTTCTAGCAAGTGGTGCAGCTGGAGCAAGAACATTTCTATTGAGATCACCACATGCACCAAGAGTTGAACCCATGTTTCTAATGATGGTACTCATTACTGTCTTGAGGTCCTTCTTCAAAACTCCATGGAGCTGAAATGTTTGTCTGGTAGTCAAACGGAGTGTTCCAATACCAAACTGATCAGCAAGATCATCCATGGCCAAGTAGAGTTTGTTTGAAACCTTTCCGCAAGGATTTTTTGTACGAAGCATAAATGAGTAAGACTTTGTACCACGTTCATCCCTGTTGGTCTGTTGATAGCTTCCATGGAACTTGATCATTTGCGTAGCAGCCTCATTTATATTTGGGGTATCCGTTAAGAGCTCCTCATTAAGAGGGTATCTAATGAAGTTACTTTGTTCTTTGAAAATTTCCACTTTGCTACGCTTAGGCCCAGTGGAAGTATCTGGCTTGACTGGCTGCAAAGATATTATACAATAATTAGAAAAGAACAAGGTGCCTACAAAATACTTTATGCTAATTGTAATTCAACATCTCAATATAAGCTGAAACTCCACCATTTCTTTGTAACTATAAGTAACATAAAGCCCTATCTCCAGTTTTTTTACAAAGATAAAAAGGGTCAAATAAAGGTATGTTATACGAGTTTCAACATAAATATTTTGACCTACTTTACTGATTTTTCATCCATATAAATACTGAAATAGTAGTGCACAAGTCTTTCTTACTGCCATTCTAGTCTTAACATTGTGTGCGTGCACAAACGTGTGAGAGAGAGAGACAGGAGGTTATTTGTCTTTGCATGGAAAAGTGACTTATAATTGGACCCCTGTTCAGAAAATTAAGAGGCAGATTTGGTTGTTTAGATCATTCCTCAGTTGAAGACGTACATGTACCTTTGGTAGCCCCCAAAGGTTCTCATATCCCATTAGTTTTTTCAAGAAAGATAATCTGTCATTCCCTCTTTGCATTTCTCCTTATAGATCTTAGAAAAATTACATTTCTTATTGTACTTTTATCATAAAATAGTTAAATAAAAAAGACAAACCCAACCAATCTAAGATCAAATAGCATAAACCAGGTGATAGCAATTTTTCCAGAATTTAACAAGTGCTCTATAAATGGGCAATCAGTGAAGGATCAACTTTAAAACTCTTAAAACTTAGCAATGCTTGCCTAGAATCATTTTCTCTTCATTTTTGCCAGCAAAAAACATAATTTGGTACATATAAACAAGATTACTATTAACATTATTTCAACTGTCCTAATTTTCTCGGAAAATAGAAAAGAAAAAAAATCACTTCAGCGAAGTATTACCATCCACATATATATAAGTTCACAATGAACAGACTGAAGAAGTGCTTCTTTTTTTTTTTATTATTGTTACCGTTGAAACAGCTCTGATGATCGGAGGATTGAAAGTCGAAGCCGAGAAGAAATGAATGCGCTTGTTCAAGAGCAGTGAATGCGAAGACCTCAGGCCGTTAAACTTCTGAATTTGAACCTTCGAGTCCCTCGCCATTGCGGTGTGCGAAGCTCCGATCGATGTCGTCATCGACGAAAGAGAAGACGAAACCCTAGAAGTCAGCTAGTGAAGTACAGAGAAGAGAGAGAGAGAGAAAGAGAGTAGCAGATTCGAGAATTTTTGGTGGCGGAAGAAGAAAAAATTATTTGGTGCTTCAGCGGCGTCACGTGGCGATGCTACTCACCAATCAAATTTATTTTTTCGTATATTTTAATCATTTAACTCAAAATTGTGATTTTATCTCTTCCACCAATCACAACATCCTTAATTGTCGTTTGGGATATGAGATTTTTTGACTAAATTAATTATAATAAAATAAAATAAATTAATAAAATAAAATAAAATATTACATTTAAATAATAATTATTTTATTTTATTTTTCATAAAAATTAAAAAAATCATCTTATTTTCCAAATTTTTTTTTTTTGGGGATAATTTTGTCCCAAAATGACGTTGTTTTGGGACACTGCAGGGAAGCATTGCAGGAAAGCACTGCAGAGGATCCAGACTCATCCCCAGGGTCAAGTGCCTGACACGAGCTGTTTTTTTTTTAATAAGTAAAGTAACTCTTTGTTTAGTAAAGTAAAACTTTTTGTTTGATTTTTTGAAAATAAAAATCAGATTTTTATTCAAAATTTTGTTTATTTTTTAGTGGGTTTTTTTGTTTTGTTTTATATATTAGACATTTTTTTTAATTTTTTATATGCATCTAAATTAAGTATATCTATAAAAATAAATAATAATTATTATTAATTAAACTATTAAAATATTTCACAAAATATAAACTAAATAGATGTACAAATAATTTTTCAAAATTTAAATCAATCGATTATTTTTAATCCAAAATCTAGACGATCTTTGAATTTGTGAAATTTTCCACTAGTTTTAATGATTACAATCATTTATCATGGACTATTTTGTGAAATTGTGTGTATATATTATTTATAATATATATATATATATTGATATGATAAATAAATTAGATTTTTTTATTATATTTATTTCTAGAGTAATATTAGAGATTCACAATTTAAATTTCTATATTTTATCTATAATAATGTGACAAAATAGATAGGTTCTACACAATTAAATATATAATAAATAAAAAAAATGACATATATTTTATCATATCAATGTGGATCAAATTATAAAAGATTTTATTTTATTTTATTTTTTTAATTTTAAACAATTTTCTTATTTTTAGGTGTCGTTTGGGAAGAGTTCATTTGGGCTCTTTTGGCTCTTTGAGCCACAAAAGACAGAATAGGCTATTTGAGCCACAGCAGACAAAACATCACATCTAACTCATAATCATTACTCTCTTCTCTCACAAAAAAAGTCAAAAAAGTTAAAAAAGTTAAAAAATCAAAAAATTAACCCACTTCCCAAACGGAGGCTTAATAAGTTTTTTTGTTTTTCTTTTCTCAATGGTATGGGCTGTGGGCTGCGTGGATTAATTTTGTTGGTGGCAGATGCTAAACACCAAGGATCCTCTAGAGTGAAATTTCCCTAAAGTTTCCTAGAGTGCTACATTGTGTGGTTGAGATTTACTGGCAAGTCACATCAGAAAAATTGATGTGACTTGCCAGTAAATCTCAACCACACAATGTAACACTCTAGGAAACTTTAGAAAAAAATCACTCTAGAAGATCTTTGCTCGATGCTAAAAGCAAATTTGATTACATTGTCCAGTCATAATGGTTCAACATCGACTGTAACCCCGTGGGCTATTCAAGAGGATTTTGATGCTATAGATTTGGGAAATAATTATTTTTTGGTCAAATTTTCTTCTTAGGACGACTGTAACCATATCTACACGGGAGGTCCCTGGGTCATCATGGACCATTACCTTATGATTCGGAAATGGGAGCCTGACTTTAAGGCATCGGAAGCCTTTGAAACCACCACTGCTGTTTGGGTAAGGTTTCCGGAGCTTCCGATTGAGTATTTCCAAGAAAAGGTCCTATACACCATCGCTAAACAGATCAGGAAACCACTCAAAATTGACCTTTCAACGGCCATGGCTACCAGAGGCAAATTGTCACGACCCAAACCCGGCCCTATGGGTTTAGTACCGTAACCGGCCAGTAATCCGAGATTACCGAAGGCCTGCTTAACAGTAATACAGTAAAACAGAGTACAGGATCCATCCACTCATTTTGCTTCTTCTGTGGCAGGGTGGACCATTGAAGGGAGCTATGCCGATACAAAACAGCACACCAATCCTCACAGGTTCCTCAAGCCACAAACTCGCTGTCGGCCGGTGATGGACTAGCCGTTTCAGAGAACCATTCAACGGCACAATTGCAGACGAATGACAGCCGGTAACGTTCAGAGGACAGTGATGCTGGTTTTGGGCCGTGGATGTTAGTTACCAAAAAGAGCCGAAGGCCCACACCCACTCGGAAGGCCCAGAATAGTGGACATAGCCCAAAATCCAATAGATTTGCTGAATTGGGCAATTCTGCTTATCAGGACGAGGGATCTGGACGAGGTAAAAAAACTAACAGATTGGGCCTTGATAAGGAGGCCTTCTCATCCTTCAATGCTTCGACCCCTTCTGGGCAAGAGATTACCACAGTTAACCAAAGGACTAACCACGCTAAGAACCCCAACCACTTTGAAAGCTTAGGATTACCCCCATTTCAGCCAACACCATATACATCATCCAACCCACGTGCAAATCCAACTTTGAGCTCACCTACCCATAATGATAATGATAACACACAGAAAGAGTTCACTCATACTCTGGAGCCTGAAACTATTACTCCCAAGGATTCTGATAACATATCTCCAGAAATCCCAATGGACGTGATAACTGAAGCCCCCTCCAACTCTCTCCCACCTATACCCCCCTCTTTAAACCAATCCATATCTCTTAGAGAAGGGAAATCAAGAGCTAGAAAACCTCCTGATCCAGACATCAAACATGGAAGAGGAGATGAACCTCCCGGACGTAACAATCAACAAGATGAAAGGCAACAACTTGGGGCTATTGTTAGAGTCAGGGACAGAAGCAATTCACCGAGTAGACACAATCTGGTGGATAGAGCAAATAAGGCTAAAAATCGAACCAGGGTGGAGCAATACAGCCATACCTCCACTCGACTCACTGCAAATGGCATCCATGCGGTCGATCGACCAAGATCATCGTAGGATCCGTAGCCTCCTACCAGGTCTTATAGCCGATCCTCTGCCATCATTTCCATCCATGGATTCGCTCAAAATCTTGATTTGGAACTGCCGCGGGGCTGGTAATAATACATTTCGACGCAACATGCGTAAACTCCTTCAAATCCACAAACCTAGGATTCTTGTTCTCTTGGAAACGAAAGTCATATTCAGTTCCATGGGAAATTTCTTTAGTAACATGGGTTTCTCCGCAGCTACCATTGTTGACCCAGTGGGACGATCAGGTGGAATTTGGTTAATCTGGGACACTGACCAAGCTAACGTTTGTGCATCCGCTGTTACTAATCAGTACATACAAGCCACGGTTCATAAAGAGGACTACGAGGAATGGGCTTTCAACGCGGTGTATGCCAGCCCTAACCCCTCTCTGAGGGAGGCTCTTTGGGAGGAGCTGGAAGACACAGCGAGGAACTTAAACAAGCCTTGGCTTATAGCCGGAGATTTCAATAACTATGCTAACCAGAGTGAGATAAGGAGCTTCTCACACACCCCTAATCAGAATAGAACCCTGAGGTTTATGGAAAGGATCAATAATTGCAATCTCACTGATTTAGGAAGTGTTGGTCCCCGTCTCACATAGACAAACAACCGTCAAGGCCTGGCTAACTCTATGGAGAGGTTGGATCGAGCTATGAGCAATGATCAATGGCGAGCCCTTTTTCCTGAAGGAACTGTGAGGACTCCCCCACGAACCTACTCGGATCATTCTTCACTGGTAGTATACACTCAAGGTATGCATCCCTCTAACCCTTAGAATAGGCCTTTTAGATTTGAAGCGGCTTGGCTTTGCCACCCTAATTTCTCTGAGGTTGTTCATCTTTCTTGGTTAAACAAAGATTTTAAACTCCTTGAAGCTATTGACAATTTTACTCAGAATGTTAAAACCTGGAATAGATAAGTCTTTGGTAACATCTTTAAACGCAAAAGAAATCTTTTGGCCGGTATAGAGGGCATCCAAAAAACTCAAGCTCAGGTCTTTTCTCACAACCTGCATATCCTGGAGAAAAGCCTTATCAAAAAATTTAATTTGACCCTTTTTCAGGAAAAGATTCGTTGGTTTCAAAAATCCATAGACAAATGGCTCACTATGGGAGACAATAACACTAGATTCTTCCATATGTCTACCTTAACCAAGCGTAGAAAGCTTAAAATTCATGTGCTAAAAGACGACAATGGTAATTGGATCTCAAACACTAATGAACTCAAAAACCACATCATGGATCATTTTAGTCAGCTTTTCCAATACGAGGAAATTTACCTTGTGGATAAATGGATTAACATTGCTAGAACCTGTTTCACCTCTGAAGATAATAATCGTCTCCTTGCCCCTGTGTCTAACTCTGAAATATGGACAGCCATCAAAACATTAAAGCCTTCTAAGCCCCGGAAAAAGATGGACTCCAAGCTATCTTCTACCACAAACACTGGAACACTATTAGCACGTCTGTTTGCCATTTTATCCAAGAGTGCTTTCACTCTAAAAGGGTCCCCAAAGAAATCAATGAAACTCTCATCACTCTTATACCCAAGCTGGATAATCCCGAGTCTTTAAAACAATTTAGACCCATCAATCTTTGCAATGTCATCTATAAATCCATATCCAAAATCATTGTCAACAGACTCAGACCTCTCCCCATTGACCTTATCAGTCCCCACCAGAGCAGTTTTATCCCCGGCAGAACCACCACTGATAATATTATCATAACCCAAGAAATCCTTCATACACTCAGATGTAAAAAAGGTAAGCTTGGTGGCATGATCCTCAAAATTGACCTTGAGAAAGCATATGACCGCATTTCCTGGGATTTCATACATCATACTCTTAAAGAATTCAAGCTAACTCCAGACTGAATCACTCTCATCATGAACTGTGTGACTTCTGTTAATTCTGCTATAATTTGGAATGAGAAAACCTTACCTAACATCAGTGTGGGGAGAGGTCTCAAGCAAGGGGATCCCCTCTCCCCTTATTTGTTTGTCCTTTGCATAGAAAATCTTTCCAACATGATTCGTCTTAAAACTGAAAGTAGAAAATGGAAGGGCCTCAAAGCTTCTAATAACAGCCCCCCATTTCCCACCTGTTTTTTGCAGATGATTTGATTCTCTTTGCTAAAGCTAATAGAGGTAACTGTAATTGCATTATGGAAGTTCTATCTGAGTTTTGTGACATGTCTGGTCAAAAAATTAATTTTCATAAATCCTATATGTACATTTCCCCCAACATCCCTAGAAGAGAAGCTCTCCCTCTCAGCAATATATGTGGCATCTCTATCACTACTGAACTAGGGAAATACCTGGGTACTCCTCTACTTCACACTAGAGTTAGCAAAAATCATTTACAAGACATTCTTGACAGAATGGCCAAAAAACTATCTGGTTGGAAAGTCAAAAATTTATCTCTTACAGGCAGAGCTACCCTAGCCAAGGCTGCCACTTCTTCCATGCCTAATCATCTAATGCAAACCATGGAAATTCCAAGAAGGGTATGTGACCAAATTGATAAACTAAATAGAAATTTTCTCTGGGATAATACAGAGGATAGGAAGAAAGTTCATCTTGTTAACTGGCAGCAGGTTTGTAAATCTAAGAGTAATGGGGGCCTTGGTATAAGACAAGCTAGAGTCCAGAATTTAGCTCTCATATCTAAGCTGGGATGGAAATTGACTATTAACTCTGATGAGCTTTGGTGCAAAATTCTAAAAGCCAAATATCTCAAGGACCATTCAGTCTCTAACTGGCCTAACCAAAGAAGAGCATCACACACTTGGAAAAGCATTATCAGGAATGAGGAGGTCCAGAGTAAGAATATAAAATGGAATGTTGGCATAGGGGAGAACATAGCCTTATGGACAGATTGGTGGTGTGGTAACCAGCCACTGTGTATCACTCAACCTGGGGCTCACATTGATAATACAACCAAAGTTAGTTCTATAATCAATGAAGAAGGACAATGGGACTTAACCTCAATTCAAGATCTTATTTCCTAACCAATGAAAGAGGAAATTCTCAGTATATATAGACCAAGGTATGTGACTTTTACTGATAACCCTCATTGGAAAGGCTCCCTTAGTGGACATTTTTCAATAGCAACAGCTTACACAACTATTTTAAATGAAGACAGAGAGGAAGTGAATTGGTAGTGGCTTTGGAAAATAAAGGCCCCTCAAAAACTCAAAACCTTTCTCTGGCTTGTTTTGCATGAGAGACTTCTGACTAACCATATGAGGTTCATCAGACATCTTTCAAATTCTGAGATTTTCCTCAGATGCCAAACTTGTAAAGAAGATATGTACCATTTACTTCGGGGCTGCCTTAAAGCAAAGGCAATATGGCTTAACCTTAAAAGTCTTAACTGGTGGCAGCATAGTAACAACACTCCTCTGCAGGCTTGGATCAAAGTTAATATGACAAGTAAGGATCGGGTGCACAATATTCAGTGGCCTACTGTTTTTCTGACAACACTCTGGCACATTTGGAAAAGGGAAGAACAAAGAAGTGTTTGATAACCTCTCCACACCTACATATATAACTGTTAACTCCATTCTTGAACAAGCTATGGCATCTCAGGAGGCCTTCCAGGCCATCCTGAACCCACATTTCAGAGATCCCAACTTAATGTTGTGATCTTGTCCCTTTGGAAGTAAACTCAAACTAAACACAGATGGAAGCTCCAAAGGAGACCCTGGCCAGTCCGGATTTGGAGGGCTGCTCCGAGATGAAGTTGGAACCTAACTGTGGAGGTACTTCGGCTATTTAGGAAATTGCACAAGCTTGGAAGCCGAGCTGTGGGGAATTTACAGAGGGCTGACCATCATTATGCAGAAGGGATTGACCAACATTGACATTGAGACCGACTCACAGACAGCTATGGAGTTGATCCGAGATGGAACTGTAGCAAACTCTCCCTATCGAGCACTCATTAAGGATGCTAATTTCCTCCTACGGTGCTGCCAATGCACACTTAAAGCCATCCCTAGAGAAGCTAATCAGAGTGCTAATGCTCTGGCTAACTTAGGTGTAAACCAGCATGACCACACTGTCTTTCTAGAGGATCCTCAAAGTTCCATTCTCTCTTTTTTGATCACTGATATGAGCACTGTTAGCTCTAGTAGGGATTGATGTATCCCAGGAATGTAGCAGTAAACTCCTCTCTTTGTTTAACCTTTATCTTTCGCAAGAATCAAAAAAAAAAAAAAAAAAAAAAAAAAAAAAAAAAAAACATCGACTGCTTTGTTGTACCAAATCTATGTTTAAATATATATATTAATACTAGTAATAACTACTCTGGTTCATCAGTAGATTCCTTTTTTATTTTTTATTTTTTGGATTCACCAATTTTTAAAAAATATTCTAGACTATTAATTCAAGAGCTCTAATAACTTTAATATTAGTGTGAGCTTCACATAACAAAATATTTTGACCTTGTATTTTTTTTTTCCAGCTCATTAGAACTGTCAATGCTCCAAAATTAATGACACCTATTACTACTCCTTATTAATGGTCTTGGTTAATCATCATCTAATGACACCTATTACTGCTCTTTATCAATGGTCCTGGTTAATTATCATCTGTCTACTAACATAACTATGGGTAAAGTTAAAAGTTAAAAATTAAAATTATTTTGTTGCCACTTCAACTCTTATTTTTTTACATATTTAAAAAAAATTAAAAACTTAATTTTTAACTATCTTTTAAACTTTGAAAGTTAGCTACAAATTGATTAAAGAGCATTTGCTAGAGATATGATAAAGAGTTGTGCTATAAGAGTTTGAATTTTACATAGTTGCATGTAGGGTTGTTTTGAAAATTAATTTTTTTAATTTTTTACAAAAAGATATTAAAAAATAAATAAAAAGATTTTTTTTTTTTTGGTTGTGTACTGACCTTTTCACTTTTAACTTGTCATACAAATTAACTAATTTATCTTCATAATAATGTATTAAACTAGCAATTAACCCGTGCAATACACGTGATATTTTTAAATAATAAAAAAATAACGGTACAATATGTGTTATAAAAAGAATAATTTTAATTTTAATTTAAAATCAAAATTAAAGTATTATTTTAATTATTTATTTTGATAATATTAATGCTATCGTGCTATAAAATTATTATTTGAATACTTATATATTACTTAATCTTTGAAAATATATATATAATCTGGGCTATAATCGAATTTGGAAAAACTTATTCAATTGTTTCAAGAAACCTTGTGGATGGCATAGTAAGCCATGTGGTGAAACTATCACATGGCTGCACAATGCTGTATAGTGCAGTATAGTAAGGATCTTCTCATCTATAAATAGATAAGTTGTATGGTAATAAAATCACAAGAATAACAAACGAAGGGTATCTAAGAGAGTGAGCCGAAATTAGAAATGAGAGTAAACGATTAAGTTTGAGGTGAGTTTTATTATTTTTTGAGTTACCATAAACTATTTTATGTAAATTATATTTAGCAAATCATATTAGTTTTAAAAAGTATAGTATTTGTTAAATGGACCCTATTTGTTTAAAAATGGAAACCCATGGATATAACTATTTATTAAATGTGTTTTATACAATTATTTTGTAAGTATC